CACGTTTCTTTTTTTACCTTCTTTGAAAATTGAGAAAATTTGCACATCAGCATAACTCTTATCTCATCCATAGATCATAAAGGCTTAGAGAATTCTATTATTCTCCGTGACTATGGCAACAACATCTATCTGCAGCAGCTGTCCAGTTATTTGAGTCCTGTTCTTCAAGATTCAAGTAGAAGTCGTTGGATAAGATGCTGGAGAGCTGCTAGCGATGGATGGGATGTGGATTCAACATTCCACCAACAGTGTAACAACAAAGGACCGACAGTTACCATTGTTCGTGTTGGTAGTTACATCTTTGGTGGCTATTCTGATGTATCATGGGATAGTGAGTACTTGCTTTTTTTGTAATATTCCAGGCCATTGCTTTTGTCTGTAGCTTAAAAATCGAAATGAACGAAATGAGCTGCCTTTTTTCTTTTTTTTATTTGTTTGGATCATTTTTATGTCTTCTCTTGAGTAATGTATCAATAAATGCAAAATCGTTATATTTCATTAATCATTAGTTTTTATTTCATTCGAAAGATAATTTTTAGCTCTACATTTGTACTTTTTGAAATTACGATGTTTACAGCGCGAGTTAGAATGTATAAAGAAAGTCTTGCGGTTTTTACTAAGATTCGTATTACCTCGACCTTTTATGTAATATTACAACATGAGTGGCCGTGTTGTATGGGATTTGACACAGGAAGCCCAAATGTTTCAGATGTACTCACGTCGTTAGTAATTGTTCAATGCTACCTGCGCTTTTATGCGATCAAAATGCCATTCGTTTACAAATTTGGTATCTGTGATCTCATCGGAATGAATTTTTTAGCATCAGAAGCACGCGCATGTGCAGATCGCATGCAGGTTCGAGTAGTATTCTTACTTAACTAAATCAATGACCTTTCTAGCTTTTAGATGTTTCTTGTATGGGCAATGATTTCAAATTAGAACAAGAAGAAACTTTGTGTATCAATAACAAAAAGGCGAACTTTAATTACTTTATAGTCATCTTTTATTGTTTTTAAAGTATTTATTTTCTTGCTTAGAATTAAAAATTTAAAAGTTTATAGCATACCAGTCAGAGCGCGCCTTCATGCTCTAAGATCGTGTCTTTGAATATTAAAAATTAAATAGAAAATCTCGGGAATGTTGCTGTTATAGTTGCCCTTAGAAACTGGATGTTCAGCAAAACGTCATAGTTTCCTATTTGTTTTTCGGAACATCCAGTTTTAAGTAAGTATCCAGCTATAATGCCATCAATTTAAATGCTTTATTGTTCAATTAGAATTTAAGGTGTTTCTTCCTTAATGGCGTGACCGTGACACAGTGATACAAATTAATCTACTGATTTTCTTACAGGTTCAAGCGCCTACACGTACTCCACCAAAGCTTTCCTGTTCTCATTGTACAATACATATGGTTACCATCCTGTTAAGTTACTTATTGTACAACATCAACAGTATGCTATATATCGATACTATAATTATGGCCCTACGTTCGGTTCTGGCCATGACATGTGTATATCTAACCATGCATCAGGAAGAAGCAATAGTAATTTTCGGCCGTACGATTACACCATCCCGCCTGGCTGTAGCTACAGTAACTATTGCTCGTTCTACACAGGTAACGGTCGATTTACACCGAGTGACATCGAGGTTTTCTATGAAACCACCAACTAGCTATACAAAAACAAACGGTGAAAAAGGTTTAGTGTATTATATTTTTTCTATAGATAGTCCTGGAGGCCAGGTCTTAGCTTAAATGTATTTTCAATAAAATGAAAATGAAATATTGAGTTTTCTGGAAATAGTAGGCGTGCTCTAGGCGTGTATCTAGAAAACCTATCAATGACAATAGTAACAGGTAAATTTTATAGAGTATAATGTATCATCCGAGTACTTCTCTGATAAAAAAGTAATATGAATACTGGACATTTACGTAGGATTATTAGTCTGCCAATCTGTATTTAGCGTTAATTGCATGGTTAATTGAGTTTTTGCTAATAATAAATATTGTATTTTTTCTTGTTTGATGATGTCGCATGTAGTGGTAACGAACTAAAAATACAAGATTGTACTTATACTTT